GCAGCAGTCGAGAAATCAAACGTCATATTGCATTGGGGACAGAAGCTGCAAAAGACTTCTTTAAAGTGCTAAAGAGCAAGGATGTCACTTTGAGGACTTAGGTGCGTCTGACTCAAGCCATGGTCTTTTCAATCACCTCACATGCATGTGAAAGTGGACAAAGGATAAGAACGATTAAAGAAGATCCATGTGTTCGAGTTATGACGCTGTGGAAGAGCAGTGAATAGACGGGTCCTCCAGAAGAGTTAAAAAAGTCGGCCTGGGGAGACGCCGTCAGAATGCTTCTCCGAAGTGAGGCTTTGCTCACGCGCTTTGGACCATTTTGTCAGAAGAGACACAGAGTGTCAACAAAAGAGAAGACTGTCCATGAGCTGAACTGACGGACACTGAGGCGGACACAGTGGGTTCAAACATGCCGCTGCCCATGAAGATGGCGCCGGGCTGGGCAGTGTTAGCTTCTGAGGGGATTGTAATTAGTCAAAAATGCCTCGATGGCATCTACCAAAAGTATGATTCTTAAGTCGTGGATGTTCAACAAGAAGAGATTAAGGGCATTCAGACAGCCTTTGTACAGTACACAATTTTCTTGCCAAGCAAAATCCCTTGAATTTCTACAAAGTCCAGTGGACACTGGAGAACGATCATTTTTCTCCCTGACTTCTGACTGATTAACAGATAACTTTATGAACACCTCCTACAGCCAAACTAAATGTTTATTCAATCTTATTCAGTGCTTATTCAACCTTTCTCATTGCTGATGTCCCAGTGTGCTGGGCTACGGGAAGTCCAAAGCAGTTTCCCCACAAAGGAAAATCCATACTGAAAAATCAGAGCCAGAGAACAGTCAGCTACGAACTCTGAGAACTGCTCCCCCAGGTCTCCAAGAACTACCAGTACCCAGTCATTGCCATTTATGGCTCTTTGATCAAATACCTACCAAGGGCTTTCTATATGTAAAGAACTGGTATGGGAACCCACATTTCATACCAAATAGTATATGAAAAACCATATGCTTGTTCAGGAATTTAAGGAATTACAAATTTTTAAGTTAGGATTTCTCTTGTGACAGATCATAGAAAATGAGCTGTTTCCTGCAGATAAGAGACAGCTACGGCCCCCTACAGAGGGAGTGTTAATATGTGTGAAATACTTTATTCTTGAGCTAAAGCATTAGGTTGACAATAGAGAAAAATTCAGCTTCATTTACAAGAGAATTCTCTCGATGATTTGCTTCCCCTGATCCTCAATAGATACACAGAGAGACATGGCTTGAGGCACTTCAGTTGATTTGAACTGCTGGCCCCTTCTTTACACAGTTTTATCTAATTCCTGGCTGTCTGTCTCACTATCAATAATTACAAAAATACTTTACCCCCAGACTGCAATAGACTGGGGTACCACCAAGCCACCTCAGCGTAATAAAATGAGTAAAAGCCTGGGGTACCAAAATGAGTACACACTGGACCAGACATCAGCAGAGTTGAGTTCTTTCCTCAGCTTTGGTCCTAACTCTCGATTTGTCTTTAATTTCTTCTGTAATTTTTAAATCTCTTCTAGATGTAACATCCTATATCATCATTTACACACACACACACACACACACACACACACACACACACACACACACATTTCTTTAAATTCATGTGATTCTTCCAATCTTCTTGACAGTTCAGACAAAGCCAGCAGTGAAGAGTGGTTATGAATGACCACAACAGGAAGCACACACAGATTTGCCAATGTCTACATCTCTGAAGATCCATGAAGCCCATAGAGCCCCTGCTTGTAGCCAAGAAAAAGGAGTCCCAACACGGAAGAGTTAGATGACAAAAGTCAGCAGAGGAAGATGAGAAAGAAGAACTGTGTGGTGAGGCCCCGAGTGTGGCCAGTGAGAACAGCTTCCCTGCGTAAGCAGGCATCCACTGCCAGCCACTGGCCATCACAGACAGAAACAGTGAAAATAATGTAGATTTTAAAAAGAAGACCCACTAAAGATCATATCCAAAATTCTAAACAGTGAAAAAGAAAAAAAAATAAACTTTTCATGATCTTCTGATAGAACTCAAAGGAGTCTGACAAGATAACCAGGTACTTCCTGAATTTAGGTCATTATAAATCATGGTCTCTAACCCATTTTGGACTGAGCCAAATCAAATACCACTGCATCATCCCAATACACATCTTCCTCCCCACTCTCTGACCTCGTATAAGGCAACCCTTGCAAGGAAGATTTAAGAAGCCAAGAGTAGTTCCACTCTGAATTTTTATAACAAAAACTAGAAATGTTTTGGTAGTCTCTATTGCTGTGATGCTAAACACTGTGACACTGATGTGTCAAATGTGAGAATGGTTACCCACGGTGGACAGTGTTTGGTGGAGCTTCAAGATTAAAACAGGCTTGGAAGCACGAGTGGCATCCACTTCCGAAATAGCTTGCCTCTGGAAAAATCTATGAACTTACAGAAATGATGAAAGTTATACATGTGTTCAGGTCGCTATGAGTCATCTACGACTCGACGGCACTTAACAATTCCAAAGGAACCCAGAGTGGTTAGTAGCGAGATCAGTCGATCAGATTCAAGGAAAAAAGACAGGGGTCGGGCATCCCGCTTCCCTAAAGATGCCTTAGAAGCTACACCTCAAGGACAGGGGCCGCTCTGTTTCTCTTACAGGGCGCAGGGCGGCTGCACATGAGAATCAACTCAAAGGCAAGGGTCTGGGTGTTTGTTGTTGCTTTTGGTTTTTATCTTCCAATCCCTGTGGATCCCGGATAATCCGGGAGGCTGGGCTCTATGAGGAGAAACGTGGGGTCAGGATTGGTGGATGATTTATCAACAATCTGCGTTATGCGGATGACACAACCCTGCTTGCTGAAACTGAGGAGGACCTGAAGCGCCTGCTGCAGAGTGTCAAGGACTGCAGCCTACAATATGGATTGAGGCTCAATGTCAAGAAGACAAAGATTCTCACCACTGGACCAATCGGCAGCATCAGAATGGATGGTGAAGAGATTGAGATTGTACACAGCTTTAGTTTGCTTGGCTCCATAGTCAACAGTCTTGGCACCAGCAGCCAGGAAATTAAAAGGCGCATTGCCATGGGAAAGTCTGCTGTTAGGGACCTCTCCAAAGTGCTGAAGAGCAGTGGTGTCTCTCTGGAGACTAAGGTGCGTCTGATACAGGCCATGGTCTTCGCAATCACCTGTTATGCATCAGAGAGTTGGACAATGACCAAGGAGGATAGAAGGAGAACTGATGCCTTTGAGCTGTGGTGCTGGAGAAGAGTACTAAGAATACCATGGACTGCTAGGAAAACAAATAGATTTGTCCTGGAGAGGGTTAAACCGGGTGGCTCCTTCGAGGCAAGGATTCTGAGGCTCCATCTAACTTACTTTGGACATGTAGTGAGGAGAGACCGGTCCTTGGAGAGGGACATCATGCTTGGGAGGGTGGAGGGACGGCGCAGGAGAGGAAGGCCCTCTATGAGGTGGATTGATTCAGTGACTGGGATAATTGGGATGGGAGTGTCAGAGACAATGCGATTGGCACAGGACAGAGCGGAGTTTAGGGCTGTTGTACATAGGGTTGCTATGAGTCGCAGGCGACTTGACGGCACATAACAACAACAAACAACAAAAACAATCCCTGTGGAAACAAAGAGCTCAGAAAGTTGATGGATAACAAGATTTCTGATCCTTTTCAAAGTTTCAAAACATTTCAGATTAAAAATAAATAAACTTGAAAAAAAATCTCAGATCATTTCAGACAGTCTCACAAGATATATCTCTGGGTCTGAGGGAAAGTCAGTGTTAGGTCTTAATTAGAACTCCTAGAAACAACGAGGGCAAAGACTGCTAGGACCCTACTGTCATTAACGATAGTCAGTTTCACTCACTGAGAATCAAAATGTTCCTGCATCTGAGCAAAGTGCCTTTATCTGCATCACTTTATAGAATCCCTAACTAGCCACTCAGGTGAGAGAAAGATGGGGCAGTCCACTTCTGTGAAAACCTCAGCTTTGCAAGCTCCTTGGGGCTGTTCTACTCTGTTTATTTGGTTTGCTCTGAGCTGGAATTGACCCAAAAGCAACAGGTATATAATCTCCACAAGAACTCCAGGAAGTAGAAGGTGTTATCATACCCTTTACACAGGAGGGAAAATCAAAGCTGAGCGGTTAGTAAACTTAGGGAAGGGTAGAACCACGAGACAGCAACCTCTCTAAGCAGAGGACTGTCCTCACCTGCCTGGCCCTCCTCACCAGCCACCTCGACTGGGCATCTGAGCTCAGCACCTCATGCCCATTCCTCCTCTGCGACGTGGCCCTCTTGTCAGCTCTGATTCCATCACCCACAGTGACTACTGAAAGGAAGTCCCCTCAGGGGGTGTCAGAGGACACGCTCTGTCCATGTAGGTCAGCCAGGAGCCCCCCTCCCCGAGATCTCTGCTATGCGCACCAACATAGAGCCTTCTCAACTCCAATGAGCACTTCTGGCACACTGTCCACACAGGTTCAGAGGAAGAATGGTCCATTTTGCTTAGGATGAATATAATAGGAATGATTAAGGAGCTCTAGTGTCCATTTAAGGAGTTGCACTGCCAACTCAGAGGCAAGTGGTTCAAATCCACCATCTGCTCCACAGAGGACGGGCAGTGTCTTCCTGTGGCATTGACAGTGTCTGCAGACCTGCAAGGTCAGCTATGAGTTGGTTCTGACTCGATGGCACATGACAATAGGAATGACTGACCAGCTTCAGCCTGCCGGAGGCACAGACTGACGCACTGGTGTGCTTTCTGCGAAGGGTTTGTGAAGATACTTCCCAAACGCTGAGCCATCTCTTTTTGCAAGATGCTACAATGACTATCTTCTCCCGTCACACGGAAGAAGTAAAGTTTGGCACCAAGAGGCAGACAAGTTGAAGGTTAGGTGGAAGGAGATCAGTTTCCTAGCATCTGAATTGTTTTTTTTAAACTTCTCATGTAGTAGGAGCACATGGTCCCACTTACCCTTTCTATCTCCTGGAGGTACAGGAGGGCAATGTCCCCTGCCTTCTCGTAACACGTGATGACGTCCTGCTCCCGGTCCACGTGGAGGTTGCTGGTAGAAGAGGAAATAGGCAGCTTCTCTAAACAAAGTCCTAAAAAACATGAGACACAAAAAAAATTGTTGGTGTTGGGTTTGGTTTTTTTTTTCCCCTGGGACTTAACACTCAATATTGCCACAGTGGGCCAGAAAACGGTTCCAGGATGTCAGAGGTTGTCAGAAAACCCAATTCTCCACCCTCTCTCTTTGTAAACAAAATAGAATATCAAATGGAGCCCCAAAGACAATACTCATAAGTTACACAAGAACACTCACTACCATTGAGACTTTTCCAGCTCAAAGCAACCACTCATCTGGTTTCCAAGGATAAAAAATCTTCATAGGTGGAGTCAGCCCATCTTTATTTCTTCAGAGCAGTTGCTACATTTGAACTGCTGATCTTTCAATTAGTATTGCAATGCTTAATACACTACGTTTCCAGAGCTCCTTAAGTTAGAGAAGAAAGAGACCCCTAAATAAACAAAAAGCTCTATTTGAATTTGATTTCTGAGTTGTAAACTTGTCCTTTATGATTCCATTCATACCCAGGAAAGGCGGTTTTTCATAGATGCCCCAAGGTCCCAAAGACTTTTTCAAACTAAGTAAAGCTAGACTCACAGCAAAATACTAGCCAAGAAAAAAAACAAAACAAACATTTTCTACCCCGAAATGTACACTTAAACTACTGAGCATAAGAATTACCACCTGCTCTAAAGAGTTACATTCATTACCGGGAAAGCTTTCCAGCACAGGGGCAGGTCGGCTCTGCACCCCGGAGTCCTGGAGGAACAAGCACACACGGACTAACTCTTAGTTCTGGCCCAAGAAACACCCAGAATCCACTTGGACATAGAGATGAAAACGGTCAGTCCTAGAGAAGAGATTTCAGGCCTGGGGAGCAAGAAAGCATGAAAGTCTGGGAAAGGAAAAAAAAATAGTAACAATATCAGGAGCAGGTGGAAGCCAGCACCAACCACTGCTTCTGACCTGAGCAACTAGCCTGAAGGAAGTCTCCACCCACAAAGGAGCTGGCAAAGTCCCCTGTGACACATGAACACACTCTTTGGTGTTGTGGGTCTGTTGTTTAAGATGGCTTTCCTGGGTCATTGCCCTTAATTCTCTCACAGGGCCGAGAGGGAACATGTGGACAGAACGGGTGTCCCCCGAGGCGCCACCCTACCAGAAGGCAAGCCCCAAGCTGCCACCTTTGGTGCACAGAGGGCCTAGAAGAGGAGCTTCTCTCTTTTATGCTTGCTTGGGATAACAATGCCAATCTGATCCAGCTGCTTCAACCCTGCCTGCCCTGTGAACTCGTGGCAGCTTGCCATTCACCCGTGTCTCCGCCACGTTCATTCATCTACATCAGCAACAGCTGCGTGAGCCATTCCCCACCCCACCCCCCTTCCTTTCCCTCAACCGTTCGTTGAGCTTCTGTGAAACCTTCCAGTGAATTATAGAACCCAAAGACACAGACGAAACTTAAGTGGTGAGCAGAGAAAGGACCAGTTAACGTCAGACATGATGGGGTAGGGCAGCACACGGGACATTTGGGACAATCTTGATTTCAGCCTTTCTGTAGCCATTCTGGTACTAATCTGTGTAGAACAAATTTTAATTGTTGCTATTGTTGTTATGTGTCCTTGGGTGACCTGTGACTCATAGTGACACTTATGTACAATAAAAACTAAACTCTGCTCTATCCTGTACCAATCTCAATGTCTCAGACACACCTACCCCTATTACCCCAGTCACTGAATCAATCCATCTCATCAAGGGTCTTCCTCTCCTGGGCTGTCCCGCCACCCTCCCAAGCATGACGTCCCTCTCCAAGGACTGGTCCTGCCTTGCAACATGTCCAAAGGATGTCAAATGAAGCTTCAGAATCCTTGCCTCTAAGGAGCAACCTGGTTTCACCCTCTCCAAGCTGGACCTCTTTGTTCTCCTAGTAGTCCATGATATATTCAATACTCTTCTCCAACACCAAAGCTCAAAGGCATCAATTCTTCTATCAACCATCCCTAGTCATTGTCCAGCTCTCTGATGCATAGCAAATGGCCATGGCCTGTATCAGACACACCTTAGTCTCCAGAGTGACATTGCTGCTCTTCAGTACTTTGGAGAGGTCTCTGGCAGCAGACTTTCCAATGCAATTAGTCTTTTAATTTTCTGGCTGCTGGTACCAAGAGGGTTGATTGTGGATCCAAGCAAACTAAAGGTGTTAACAATCTCAATCTCTTCACCATCTATATTATGATGCTGCCAATCGGCCCAAAGGTGAGAATCTTTGTTTTCTTCATATTGAGTTTCCGTTCATATTGAAGGCTGCAGTTCTTGACCTTCTGCAGCAAGCTCTTCAGGTCCTCCTCAGTTTCAGCAAAAAGGATTGTGTCATCTGCATAATGCATACTGTTGATGAGTCTTCCTCCAATCCTGATGCCCTATTTCTCCTCATAGAGCCTAGCCTCCTGGATGATCTGCTCTGCATATAGATTGAAAAGGTATGGAGAGAGGACACATCCCTGGCGTACGCCCTTCCCAATTGTTGTTGACTGCCACTGAGTTGAGCCTGACTCATAGTGACCCTATGAACAAAAGGCCTGAAGCCTTTCTAGAACTGTTATCATTTATCAAAGTTCATAGAGTTTCCAGAGGCATGTTGTTTAGGAAGTGGATGCCACTCCTGCAATTACACACACATTATACAACACATTCCCCTCCTGGTCTGGCTTTAGAGATGGTTGAACACTGACAGAAGTAGAATACTGAATTAGGAGGTGTCACAAGAGACTCCTTGGCCCAAGCCTTTCCTTAACAGAGGATGACAATGTAGTCTACCATGGTCCAACAACTATCCTCAGTCAGTGGGAAAACTGGGCAGAGGACCCCAAAATTCAGCCTCCTAGACAATACTCAGCATGCTGGCTGCAGATTTTGAGAGTCAACTCCAGTGCAGAGAAGGGATCAGACACTAAATATTTAGAAACGACTCACACTTTTGTGTGTGTGTGTGTGTGTGTGTGTGTGTGTGTGTGTGTGTGCATACTTTTGAAAATGTTCCTACGCAAGCTTCCATCAGCAGGGCATCATCCCTCTAGACTGAGGAAAGGAGGCAGTGGTGTTCCACAGGAAGGAGAAACAACTCCTATTCCCAGGGAGGACAGAGCCCTGGGAACTCAGAGGTTCCTATCTTATCAGATGTACAGACCACGCCAAGATTTTATTATTCATAACCACTCTAAGGAGGTATAATTGTCACTGTACACAATAAACTGTACACTCTTTCAGTGTTTCATGATAAAAGGCTTTTGTTGTTGTTTTCATTTCTTATATATTCTTGAATTTCCTAAGGCCCGTAGTTGACATTAGCAGTCCTTCTTTGTGTTATACAGTCTTGAGCAATGCAGCTGCCATTCCAATACCATACAGAATAATTACACCACTCTAAAAATACACAACAAGCCGTATCTCCTCCCCACTCCCCACACTGCCCCAGCTCCTGACAACTAGGCAACCACTGATCTTTTTATTATATCTATAGTTTTGAGGTAGTGAACAGTTTTAGTTTGCTTGGCTCCATAGTCAACAGTCTTGGTACCAGCAGCCAGGAGATCAAGAGATGAATTGCATTGGGAAAGTCAGCTGTCAGGGACCTCTCCAGAGTACTGAAGAGCAATGAAATCAGGCTGGAGACTAAGGTGCACCTGATCCGGGCTATAGTCTTCACAATTGCATGCTATGCATCGGAGAGTTGGACAGTGACTAGGGATGTTAGAAAGAGAATAGATGCCTTTGAGCTGTGGTGCTGCTTTGTCCTGGAGAAGGTGAAGCCGGGATGCTCCTTGGAGTCAAGGACTCTGAAGCTACATCTGACATACTTTGGGCATGTTGCAAGAAGGAACCAGTCCCTGGAGAGGGCTATCATGCTTGGGAGGGTGAAGGGACAGTGCAGTAGAAGATCCTCGATTCTGTGATTGGGGTGGTGAGAATAAACGTGTCGGAGATGGTGAGGTTGGCACAGGATAGAGCAGGGCTTAGTGCTCTTGTACATAGGGTCGCTATGAGTCGCAAGCGACCCTATGGCACATAATAACAACAACTATTGTTTTACCTTTTAAAAATTAACTTTCCGTGTGAGTTGAGTGGAAGGTTACAGAGCAAATTGATTCTCCACTCAAGGGTGCACACACAGGATGTTTCCTGACGCTGATTCCAATTCCCACACTCTAACAGCCCTCCGCCCACTTCCTCCTTGGGCTCTGCACTTCCTCCGTCCTTCTTTCCCAACCCTTCCTGCCTTCTGAGCTTTGTCCCTCGGTTAATACTGCGCTTTTGACCTTGTGCGGCTGACTTCTCCAAGGGGTGCCTTCCTCGCGGGTGTCAATGTTCACTTTTTAGGTCTGACTACCGTTTGGCTTAAACACGGCGCAGATAATGGGAACGGTGAAGGACGGCACAGGGTTTAGAAGAGTTTACACAAGGTCACTGTGAGTAAGAGTCGACTCCATGGCACCTCAGCACCTAACAAACAACTGCCAGGCTCGAAGGTGTCTAAGAGTCACATTCTCAGGGCCCCATCAGTTCCCTAGACTAGCACATCTGGCCGCCTTTTCACAATTTTGTTCCACTTATTACTCACTCTAATTCTTTCTCGCCCAGGATATCATGTGATTGGAAGGATGAGGTATATAGCTTTTCAAACTGGCTTCTGTCCCTTCGCAACATACATGTAAGCTTCCCCCACAACCCTTCATGGCTTGAGAAATGCATTTTTCTTCATTGCTGAATAATATCCCATTGTGCGAATGTAACAGTTTACCCATTCACCTCCTGTAGGGCATCTTCCTTATGTCCAGTGTTCGTCACTTAATAAACAACTGTGTATAGATTTCTGTATAGACTTAAGTTCTCAGCTCAACTGGGTAAAAACCTAGAAGCATAACTGCTGGAGCGTATGCTAAGACAATGTTTAATTGTATAAGAAACCTCCCATTGTTTTCCAAAGGCACGTGGCCATTGTGCATTCCCACCAGCGGTGAACTTAAGCGTCCCTCTGCA